TCCGTGACACCCTTACGTTAACTATAATTCCAGCGAGTGGATGATACCCTTGGCACCCTACGTTAACTATAATTCCAGAGAGTGGATGATACCCTTGGCACCCTACGTTGACTATAATTCTAGCGAGTGGATGATACCCTTGGCACCCTACGTTAACTATAATTCCAGCGAGTGGATGATACCCTTGGCACCCTACGTTAACTATAATTCCAGCGAGTGGATGATACCTGTGGCACCCTACGTTAACTATAATTCCAGCGAGTGGATGATACCTGTGGCACCCTACGTTAACTATAATTCCAGCGAGTGGATGATACCCTTGGCACCCTACGTTAACTATAATTCCAGCGAGTGGATGACACACCAAGTGAATGAAAACCGAGTGTTTGTAATTATTCTCCGACTAAAGTAGGAGACTTAAAGAACATTAGCTTACAAAACAATTAGCAAAAAAGTGTTAAGTTTGCAGTGCCATCTGGTGTCAGTGTTAACTTTCTAAGAGCGTTTTGTTCTTAATGCTACGGGCTACGTATGTTAAGACTGAGAAGACACGTTACGAGTAGTTTGTAATGACACTTAATATAAGTGTTATAAGTTTGTGATAACTTATATAAAGTTGGATACAAAGAAGCAAAAGAATGACTCAGACTCCGCTGTGATTAGGATTAGATTAACTTTGAACTTAATCAGAATGGTTAAATTAAAGGATCTTTCCCTTTCGAGATAAATCCGTGCTTGTTTCATGACGAGGTTATGCTTTAATTTAAAAGGTAAGAGGAATTGTTTGTACGACGTTTATCGTTAAAGGACTATAAAAAGAAGACAAAAGCTAGGCCTAACTTTGAAATTTAAAAGGAGTTGGTTGTATAATGTACATATTTTGTGGATTATAAAAACAAAAGCTAGGCCTAACTTTGAAATTTAAAAGGAGTTGGTTGTATAATGTACATATCTTGTGGATTATAAAAAGAAGACAAGAGCTTGTCCTAACTTTGAAATTTAAAAAGAGTTGGTTGTATAATATATATATTTTGTGGATTATCAAAAAACAAGACAAAAGTTAGACCTAACTTTGAAATTTAAGAGGATTGGTCATACAATGTACATTTTCTGTGGGCTATAAAAACAAATAAAAATTTTCCCAGATAACATTCGTAGTATATTTGATAAAATAAATATTTCCTACACAATAAGTTCAGCACTAAGTATTCTTAGATTACAGAGTACCATTGTCTTCAGATAGATGAAAACATACGTTGTTATTCTACATTTATTATAAGCTGTTTAGGGAACCTCGAATTTTCTAGTATTGCTGCAGATTTGACCGTCGGAATATTATTACAAAAAATAAAAACAGAAATCCAACTGAGGCATCATCCTCAACATCCTTAGAATTATTTACAACTCATGTAACCACACTGTGTTCTAGAGTCTAGACGACAACAGAAGGGAATATTTTGGCAAGTGTAATTATATTTAAAAGGTACACATGCTCGTTCCACATTTAAAATATCATTCCCTATTTCGAAAGTTGCTTATTTCCTACTGCATCCTCTATCTCAGGACTTGTTGGGTTTTATATACCCCTATGTAGGGAGTTAAGGATGTTAAAACCCAATATCTACACATTCTTTGTGGATAACAGTACATTCACTTGAAGGTTAATTACCTTGGTTTAAACATATTTAACTTATTGATATTTACAAACAGTATTTCTAACATTGCAAGTATGATAATAAATAACATTGTAATAACAACAGAATGTTGCTAAGTAACTTAGTTTAATACTTAT